GGAGACTCCCGGGGCGCCAGGGAGAGTTAGATGTTTGGAGATCAGTGTCCCTGGTTAGCAACCAGGGACGCTGATCTCTCTGAAAGGGGCCGGCGCCAGCCGAAAGATCACGGCTGGCTCCGCCCAGCTGTTAGAAGCAGCCTGTCGGCCGGCCAACGGCCGGCCGCTCGGCCAGCTTCGGCTTTCAGCACGGCTCAGAGCTCGACTGAGCTGCTCGGCCGTGATCGGGAGCTGTACGGGCTATTGTGAATAGCCCGTACAGCACCCCCTCGGTTCTCCTGAACCGAAGGGGTCCTGGGGCCAAAGCCAGCCGAAGGATCGGCCGAAGCTACGGCCAGATCCTTCGGCAGCTTTGTGAATAGACCCCTATGTTCAACTTTAACTTCTCAATCATGTGGAGAGGAATTTAGAAAGATAAGAATCTCCTGTGCACATAATTAGTTGACTGAATTGAATTTACCTTTACTGAGCCAATTAAAAAATGTTCTACTTTCAACCCATATATGTAGCATCTCACTACAAGTTTTGGAGCATTCTTGGAGATAAAGATTGTGGTCATCCGTGGCAAAAGAGTCAGTGGTTCTGAGGCTTGAAAACAACATCTTTAAAAAAGGGTTTATTAAATAGATCAGTAAGTTTGAGCATTTCAGCACCACAGATCACTGAACAATATGGACTAGGGGACTTAAAGTCCAACTCCACTTTTTATATTCGTTTGAAATATGCAGTTGACTTGCCTCAGCTGCTTTTCCATTCCCATGGACTTGTACAGGGAGAGAAGCAGTCTTGAGGCAAAAAAAAGGCCACCGACATTGGCCCAAAGCGTAATAAAAACCTGACAGAAATGTTAATACTTCTGCACTGCATCCAGAACTAAAAAATTACAAACATTCGTCTGGAATTAGGTTGTGACGTACTTGCACTAATAACCCACAGCAGATTTTATTTTTCCCATCATCTGGCTACAGTATGTTGAAGTCTGATTTGCTGCTTTTATATATTACTGTCACTTGCACAGGGTCATTACACATTTAAAGATCCCACCCATTTGAAATAAATCGAGTTGTCTATTGTATATTGCAAATGCTCACCATTACAGTCAAGAAAATGTAATATAAATATTAAAAAATTAGATATAATATGTAAAATACATGTGCGAAAAGTGAAAAAGGAGCTGATGAAATGTATTTTTGTTTTGCACAAGGTTTTACCAGAGTCTGTGGAGGACTATGTCAAAGATGGTATGATCTTCTCAAAGCTCCACGTTACTGCCACCCGCCCAGGACTGTTTACCTGCATGGCAGACAATAAACATACTGGTAGTTTTGGTCCTGCCAAAGCAGCAGCAGCAATTAGCATATCAGGTTTGTTCTGAAAAAAATGTTGCATTGAATGTATAGCGAACTGTTTACTAGGAGACTGAGGACCAGTATCTACTGGTCTGTAACACTGTAGATATATACATTAAAGCAGAACTGAAACCATAAGGAGCCAGTAAATCAATTTACCAGCAATCAGCAAACCTTAAATAACTAGAAGTGGAAGAATTGGCCTATAAAGATGAACTTCAGGATAAGCAAATATTGTTTAAATACAAGAGACATGTATATTTGTACTAGGATCTTGATGTGCTTTGTGTATTTCTTCCAGATTTGTGTAGTAATCCAGCATGACATTTTGCTTCTGCCAGGTGATTCTTTTAATACAGACCAGTCACCGCTGTTCTCTCTTCTTGTGCACGCTGACTGGTCTTGTATCTGCCCCGCGCCTACAGTTTTCTGCAGGCAGCCTGTAGTGAATAGGGCTGCTAGGTCCCTCCCATGGCTCTGCTCTCTGTACAGTCACAGCACAGTGATGCTATCACCAATACATTTACAGGGTAATTGCAAAATCATTTGATGCACACAGAGTGGATTTATATTCGTTGTGGCTGCAGAGAAATGTATTTAAATGAAAGTTGTTGCCTGGAGTTTAGTTTTAAACAGAGCTATTGGCTGAACTACACTGGGGCATTGAACTCCACAAGAAGCAATAAAAATAAACATCAGGACACAAATGTATTTTCCTTTAAATTCTATGTTAGGAAAACACATTTGGTAAGATAAGAATACCTCAAATTCCACAGAGAAGTGCAAGTGTGGAAATAAGATGATTAATTAAGTGACTGCACTGCAGTCTAGGTCAGCTTTCTTGTGGAGAATTTGAAGGCAAGTTTATACTTCCAGACATCATAGAAAAAAACGTAATGACTGATTAAGAGTTCTCAGCTTCTTAAAGGTAGATAATTTAAAACAGATTTCAGAAACTGCTACATAGTAATGTAGTATTATTGGATGTAGGCATTTCATCTGTGGCATTCATGAACAAGTACATTTTAATGACAATGAGAAAAAAAATACCACTTCATAAGCCTATGCTTGAATATCCACTTCCCGCCATGGGTGCAGACACAGCTCCCAAGCCTATCTCTTCTCAGAATTAGTGATAGGCAGAACACCCCCCTGTCCGGTTCAAATTCGAACTTTAGAACATGGGAAAAGTTTGAATTCAAACTTGAACTCAATGCAAGTCTATGAGGGTAGAACTTTAAAAATCAAATATCCCCATTTTGAAGCCTTATATGCAATTTATTGGCCATAAAAAGTGTATGGGATTCGGGTACTGCCCTGGGAGACATAAATCAATTCATCTTTTTTTTTTAAATACCATTTTTAAACCAGCAGTGATTTTAACATCACTTAAAGTGAAACAAAAATTAAAAATTCCTTTAAAAATCATGCCTGGGGGTCCGCTTGAACTGCCTGTAAAGTAGCACATCTGTACAATATAAAGAACCTGCTGCAGCAAAAAATTACATTTTCTAAAGAAAAAAATGACATTTAAAAAGAAAAAAAAAGCGCGCGGTTCCCCCTCCCAAACAATACCAGACCCTTTAGGTCTGGTAGGAGTGTTAGGAGGGACCCCATTTTTAAAAAAAAAAATTAAAGTGTGGGGTTTCCCCCAAAAGTCATACCAGACCCATAAGGTCTGGTAGGGATTTTAGTAGAGACCCCATGTAAAAAACAAAAAAAAGTGTGTGAGGTTCCCCCTCAAAGTCATACCAGGCCCTTAAGGTCTGGTTGGAATTTTAAGGAGGAACCCCACCCCCAAAGATGGGGAAAATGTGGGGTCCCCCTAAAATTTCCAACCAGATCCTTGATCCGAGCACAGGCCTGGCAGGGTAGGAAAGGGGGTAGACGAGTGAGCCCCCCACCCCCCTTTCCTGTGATACCAGGCCACATGCCCTTGGCACTGGGAGGGTGCTTTTCCAGGGTTGCCCCTGGTAAAGCACCTTATCCCTGTGCCGATGGGGACAAGGGCCTCTTCCCCACAAGCCCTGCGGCCTATTTACATCAGGATACCCCTTTAATAAAGGGGCACCCAGATGCGCCCCTCCCCCTTGTGAATGAGTAATGGGTACTTCTACCCCTACCCATTCATAAAAGGGTTAAATAAAATTGTAAAAAAAGAGGCCAGACTTTTGTAAAAATCCTTTATTTGGAATAAAACAAGACAAGTTTTGGACAAGTCTAGTATTACCCCCCCCCCCCACCAAAAAATTCCCTACTCAAAATCCACTAAACAATATGGATCAAGCGATGCACACCAGGTTCAGTTTAAAACATATTTAATCCATATGAGAAGTCTGATAAGCACCCCACTTGGGCTTTTCTCTCTGATGCAGTTTACCCAACACGGGCTTAATTGTAGAGGATATTCGAATGCAATAGAAAATATTTCATTCTTTAAAGCAAAAACATCTGCGTCTTGTGGCCACCTCACAGAAGAGAGAACCAGATTTTTGTTTGGAAGGCTCAGAAGGATGTGCAGTCATTCAAAGTGCACCTTCATGGAACTGTGGTACTAGAGAGCTAATTTTTGCAGGCAGAGTTTGAAAAATAGTCCTATACGTATTCCTTTAGGGCAATCATAAAGGTCTTGGTTGCAAAAGTAACCTATATGGCCACTTTAATATTAAAACTTTTATATTAATCTTATACCTTACCTTATAGTAGAGCGATGCATTACATATTTTTACAATTCATTAACTGCAAGAAAATGTTGAGGATTCAAGAACTCTCCTGACCTTTTGCATGACAAGGTATTGCTCTTGGCGTTCCTTCAGCTGTCCTTCAGCTTTTTGCACTTCATAAATAACAAAGGTCCCCCCCTCCTAAATACCCTCATCACCTGCCCATGCTAAGTTAAATGGAGCTTCTCATAACGAAGACTGAAATATGACCAACTTGTTATATAGCCATGTTTATAGAAAAGTCTGCAGGCAGAGAACTGATGGCAGTACAGATAGGTATATCTTGACTAATTATTCTCTTTTTTTTTCTTCTTTCTACATGTGTTCTGGAACTTCATCATAAATCTTCACTGTAGAATGGAGGTAGGGTGCTTTTCCTTTTAAACGTTTTAACCACTGTCAGCACAAATTAAAGGAGCACCATGATTGAATAAAGTGATACACTAAGTTATTGATGTACTGTAATGTAGTTTGTTGAAGCCTGTGACACAAGCTGTATTTTCTCAGTTATAAGTCATCTGGTTCTATCCTGCTCAAAACTGCTTTTATTGGAGTATTAATTAATAATGCATGTCTTTGTTTTTCCTCTTAACCAGTAAAATAGAGCAAATCCCATGTTTGGTACAAATAGTCTTGTTTGGAAACAAAAATTAACAGCTGTCCTGTTAATTTTTTATAAATGTCTGGCCAACGTATGACAAACAGGAACAATTAAGAAACATAAGGTTTTGTTTCAGTGAACAAGAAAACTCAACAATAAAAAGTTTACCCTCAAAGATCATCAATGCAGACTTTTTGAAGAAAAAAAATCAATCATTTATGGCTATTTTTTCACAGTGGTATCCATTTTTATAGACAAGAGAGTCAAATATACAGGTGAAACTCGAATAATTAGAATATCGTGCAAAGTTCATTTATTTCACTAATGCAACTTAAAAGGTGAAACTAATATATGAGATAGACTCATTACATGCAAAGCAAGATAATTCAAGCCGTGATTTGTCATAATTGTGATGATTATGGCTTACAGCTCATGAAAACCCCAAGAACCCCAAATCCACAACCTCAAAAAAGTAGATTATTACATGCAATCAATAAAACAAGGATTGTACATAGAACAATACCGGACCTCTGAAAAGTACAAGCATGCATATGTACTCAGTACTTGGTTTGGGCCCCTTTTGCAGCACTTACTGCAATTACTTTTGCACGATATTCTAATTATTCGAGTTTCACCTGTATGTTACTACACACCTCGTAATGAAAGCATAATATTCAAAGTTAGAAAGGGTGGAAGGTGTCCACTATAAAAAAAAACTGCTGAAAGCTTGTCTCAGAGCACAATAATTTCACTGGATTATGACTTTAAGTAGTTCTTTACCTTAGCTTCTGTGAGACGCCGCTGCTGGTGTTGTGTCTCCACCCTACTCTCCACTCGACCATTCACAAATAGAAGGCAGTGTTTTGTGTAAGGCTGAGAAGAGAAGAGGGTTGAGACATGGCACCAGTATCAGAAATGCTGTACTGATCTCCACTGTGAGCAGGAATGTACAGCTAGAGATACATACATACATACCGTATTCAAATGCAGTGAAATTATTGTTCTTGGAGTTGGGCTTCAAATTTCATTTAATCTTTTGGGGGAAAAAAATGTTACAATTGTGCGAATAAATCCTAAATACAAACACTTTGTAAAGCAGTTCTTTATAGCTCTCACCCATTCTGCCCTCAAAATATGAACACCTCAGTGGGGTACCACCTTCTATTGCAACCCAGCTATCCAGATAATGCCTACAGCAGGGGCGCCCACTATTTTTCGTCTGGAGATCTACTTTTCAAATGACTCAGAGTGTATTGTTCCTATTTGTAGTCATGCAGTAAAGCTGTATAAAGTATTTTCAGTTCTTTCTGCTGACTGCTTGAGTAATGCACTATGCAGGGGTTTTAAACAAACACTACAGTGTATGTATCTTGAGATTAACACGCGCCAGTAAGACTTTTGCAATTAGGGTTTGCAGGTTTAATTACTAAAGGAATCTGTACAGAATACACCCTGCATTTTGTGATTACCTTTTAAATGTATTTACTTAAATAAATGCTTTTACTAGCGCTAGTGTAGTTTTTACATAAGATGATGATTCAAAAGGTAAGACAACTATTAAACAGAAAGTGAATTAATGTAGTACTGTTTTTACTTTTTTAATTAATGTAGTACTGTTTTTACCTGTTTTTACAGGCTATACAAAGGAGATGTTGGCTACTGCAGCACTTACAGAGGGGATATTTGTAATGCAATGCTTGCAAAGGACTCCTTGGTTTTCTTTAATACATCTAATAGTGAACCAGAAGAAAGCCAGGAGATGCTTGCTCAAACTGCCTGGACAGAGCTGAAGACAGTCAGCTCTCTTTGTCGCCTAGCTGCAGAAGCTCTGTTGTGCAACTTCTTCTTCCAAGAATGCAACCCAACAGGAGATGGTCCAGCACCAAACCCAATATGCAGGTAAGATGCAGTTGAATAAATGAGGCAAAAGCAAAATTTTGTTGTGTGTGAGTTAGTATGTGAGTCAGTGTGAGTCTTGTTACCAGGAAGACAATATTAAATGGATATTGAATCTAAATGAGCCATATCATCTCTTATGTGCATTATTCTTTTATCACCATCATATTCACCACCATAATTATTATAACTTACAACACCTGCATTTGTAAGACATAAAGCATCTTTTGTTAGCCAGAGTAAACAGAAAAAAATCTGAAAATACAACATATGAGTGGACTTGTTCTACTGCAGTGCTATGCTTGCTTTTTTTGAAGGCAGCAGATTCATGTAACTGCCATTAGGTAATTTATACAGTAAAGTTACAGTGAACGTTTTCTCAATCTCCCTCTGAGAAGCAAATCTTTTCATCAGCTCTGGAAGTCCTTCTTGTGACATTAAAACAACTATTTCAAATATCATGAGTAGCCAAAACAAGAAGCTTTAGAATTAATGTAATGGTGAGGGCTTTTATATTTTAGTGTTGACAGCTGCTGTTTGACCTTCATGAAATGAGGTGTTGATGTCAGTCATCGACACAGTGGGCTGATTTCCATGAGCTGTTCACCTAGCTGGTAAATAAAGCACAAATGGTTTATATAGCAAAATCATTTAATTCGGGAATGTTGGAATGGAGAGGTTTTTGGGGTAGGTCCTACTACATACATCTATTAAGTTCCATGAGAATTTATGCATCTTACCACGGCTAATTCCATAGCTGAACTTCACTACTTAACCCACAGCTTCCCCGTGTTAGTTACATAGCTGACAGTTAAGTCAATAAACAACTCATCCCTATGACAAAATAATAGACTTTAACCACTTTTTGGAGAAGGCAATGCGTAAATACTCAAGTTAGGTTTGCTTTACTCAATTTCTAATACCAATCTAAATCTGACAAACAGAAGGGAGTGAGCGTAATAAGCAAAAACATACCAATCAGCTTTGAAAAACAGGTTTGAGAGTGTTCCAATTCCAAGTTAGTTGACCATGATCTTGGCATGTTAGATCACCTGACCCACAGAAGTTGTGATAAGCAGTAAATCTTAAGCATTAGCATTGGTAAAGTCCTGGATACAACTATGCTTGCTTTTATCTAATGTGACATCCTTTCAAATATGTCACATTAGACATGGTATAGACCTCTGAAATAATGACAGACACACACTGATTCCCAGGACTGTCAAGGGAGTGAGACACTAAGCCAGGGCTACAAAACCCTTAAGGGCTGCATACAACCTAGGATTTGAGCAAAGACAAGATATCCTTGTTCTGTGAGCCACACCTTTTTACTGAAAACCTTAAATATGTGTGGAATCATGGCCTTCAAGATGCAGAGTTGTCCATCCCTCTGGTACAGTCTGGTACAGTTGATTAAAACTTAAAGATTCCAGTGTAATCCTTGGATTCCTATAGAGCAATTTAACTGGGCTGTTACTGCTATCCCGCAAAATCTACAACCATACCATCCAGTTTAATGGTAATTGATTAGAGTTTTAGGAACTTATGAACCTATAGCATAGACATTGAACTGGAAGCTTCCTGGGGCAGGGAATAATGTGAACCATGGTAAGTACCATATAAGGTGATCTGCAATATGTTGGCACACAGTACAATTAATAGCTAAAATGCACTGCATTTTGGAATTCTGTTTTTACTGAGAGCAGGAGGGGAGCTCATGTGTTTTTTTAAGGGTAAATAGCATCAGACCTCCATGTATACGGTTTTTAAACAAATCAGATTGTATTTTGATGTATTGCCAGTTATTAGCTAATATGATAGCATGGTTGTGCTGAGAAGTTCACATATCTTTCATAACTAAACCTTTGGAATTGTAATACTGACTGAAGAGCTTGCTATGTGCTAGATAAATCTTGGCTTAAGAGCCTTTCTTGGCAGTAGCAACAAATTTAGACAGAGGTCATCAAAGCGCTGGAGATAAAGTCTATCATGAAATCCATATTGCATGCTGTGAGAGGATCAATATTTTTTTCAGTGCATATTTCTAAGTAGAATGATTGCTCCTGACCTTTGGGCCTTGTAATATACTTGGCATTGTGAACACTGGCTTTTTTTTACCTACTAGCAATTCCATCAGTTACCTTCAGCTTCAGAGTTACACTGTTTGCCACAGAAGCTGTCATGATACGGCATGTACATTATTAATATCAACAAATCTTTATGTAACAGTTTATTCCTGTTGTCACTGTGATGAGCCTAGTTTGCTGCTGTCACTCTGTCTGGATTTCCCAGGGTGTGATTAATGTGGCTCTTGGGTGTGAATTATCTATGAGTGCAGTTTGTTCTGTACAAGATTAACAGGTTGAAGTTACTTCCTAGACTTTAACATACTGGAAATAAATAAGGAAATGACCTAAGGTGTTTCCCCTTTGGTTGGGGAATAAGGAACTCAATCTATGCAGTTTTGTTTAATACCCCAGCTAGGATCAGAGACCCAACAAGGTTTAAGTAAAGTAAAAATAAAACTCTAAGCTATATTTGATTAGGGTTGAGGATTGCTCTGGTCCTTTGAGTTGGGAGCCCAGCTGGATCTAGATATTACATAAAGCAAGGTATGTAATACCAGGCAGATACCACATGCTTTTTTCATGGAGATTTTATATAGCACAAATTTACATTTTAATAATGTATTAGGCTGCTTGTTCAGCTGGGAAATTTGGATGCATGCGGACTCCATTGGTGACCAGACCCACAGAGGATATAAATAGGATACCCAACTGAAGGATGCTTTTTGGGAACATAGAAACCCTGTCCAACAATTATAAAAAATGACTCTGAATCATTTAAACAACTGAAATCTTGCTCAGAAAGTTGACATCTCAATATCTGATACACAGTGGGTTCTTGTCTACTTAATCTCCCTGTAAGGCCCCCATTTGGGACGCTGTACGCATCATGAGCTGTAAGGACTCTTGAGGAAGCAATACCGTGAAACGCGTCGAGTCTGTACTAATAGGTATATCAGCTGTCATATTTATGCAATCATTTGCATGTGTAATTACTGTATTGTACTAGATTGTACCAGAATTGTAACAAAATGGACCCATGGCATTTTCTGTTTTTACAAACATTTTAATATATATTCATATCAATAAAATAATATATTTTTATATATAAACTGTTGTTTAGTTTTTGGTACCTCGAAACACCCAAGCTGTTTCTATTTTTGTGTTATTCATTAATCAGGGGTGTGGTGCCATGCTTCTGCCTTTCAATGCCCCCTGCTTCTTTAGAACTACTATTTTTAATAATGTATTAGTAGAGAATAATGAAAAAATTTCAGTGAACTGCAACATATAAAAGTTTGTAATTTAATGTACCATTAAAGAGAAACTGAACTCTGGAAACTGTGCCAAAAAAGGCACATAGAATACAAAAGACTAGTCGACAGTATTGCCTTTGGTCTCCATGCAAACGATCATGATATCACCAAATCTCACTCCAGATCTCCTGAGACAAGCAGTCAGAGGCAACAGAGCCATAGATCTCACACAGCAGATAAATAGCTATGAGTCTGTAGGCACATGAGAGCCTAGGCACACTCACATACCAGGAAGTACACTATTATTTTTCAGGAGGGATTCAAGACAAAAGGTAAATTTTCAGGGTAATGCTTAGGCACAATTAATAATTCTAGATATCCTGTAAAACATATCAAATACACACTTTGTGAGTTCAGTTCCACTTTAAAGTTACTCAAAGTTTAAAGTTGTAGTGAATGGAAATGTGAAGATGTATATTGTAAATCATAGTTAATCCCTTAAAGCAGTGGTTCTCAACCTGTGTAACCTCGGGACCCACATGTCAACAATTTCACCTAAAGCAATACACTTTATTTCTTGGCTTTTCTTTGGCTCAGATCCTTTGCAGCTTCGCTTTCCATCTGATTCTATTGCTTTTCTACTGTAGCTTTCCACTTCAATATGTTACTTTTTTACGCTCTCTCTTTTGCACATCTGCTTCTCTCTTTTTCTATTTATTTTTGCTGTTTGCTATTTTTGTAGCATTCAGTATTAAACTGAACACAAACATTTTTACGCCAAGTAAAGGGGGTTCTGAGGGTACTCTTCATACACCCTATATTTGCTTTTTCCCCAAACAGTTGGGGAGCTGTTGTTAGCCTTTAGACATGAGCATCTAACAAGCCTGACAGCCTCAGGACCCTGAAAGCCCCAAGAGGAATATGGTCCCCTCTAGGGCTACCTTCATTTGGGGTCCTATTTATTTAATCATCTGACAACAGCCACTGTTTCCGGTAAAGCTGGCCACGCAGTGCCCAATTTATTCTAGTAATTACAAAAATCTGAGCATTGCTTACAGTATTCAGGTAGAATATAGGACACTGATTGAAAGATAAATGGATGGAAATTGTGAATCTCAAGTTTGGTGCAAAAGTCATAGCAGAGCCAGGTGATTGGTGAATGTTACAAGAAGTTGCTTGAAGTTGCAGCGGACAAATATCCACTTAAGAAACCTTAGCCGTGGTTGCAAATGTATGAGAGTTGACTGTATGTGCTTAACAGTGCCCTGATAAAAAGAGAACACACGTCCAAGTGGGTCAGACTATCTGAAAGCTATGCTTGCTTTTTAAGCCTACACCTAATTGACGGTATGCATGACTGTCAATGCAGCAAAGCAAATATGTGATGCAAAACATCAACTATAATTACATAGTTACATAAGAACTGCTTGAACACAAGTTAAAATGCACAGCACAGAGACAAGGTTGCTATATGCTGTTTCTGCTCAGTTAAACATCTAAAGTGCTGTTTCGTATAAGTAAAAGGTAAACTTTGTCTTATTCATTGATACTATTAATGCACTTTTTTCCTGTGAGCACTACAACTGTGCAATGATTAATTAAGTAGTGATAGGTTCTGGCAACATTGACCCTGAACATCATACCAGCCCTTCAGACCGGTGAGGACAGATACAAGTGTCTCAAGTATTTGACGTCATATGACATTTTCACAGCATACTCAAGGACTTTGCATATCCTATGGGTATATAATGAAAAATGGCATCACATACAACATTGTTGTAAAAATAGTAATATAAATACCATGTCTTGCTATGGAGAAGTTATTTAATACACAGTTAATGATCCTTAGCATACCTAAACATAGTCATCTGTTACCTTTTGCCCTTGAAACTTGTTCTGCCCATAATCAATGCCAAACGATTGTATCCCTGTGACAACTTAGTTATATTATTTCCAGTAACCAATTTACCATACAAAGTAATGTTATTGCATGTTCTGAATAACCAGTAGCCATGCAGTGTTAAGCTGTGTTGAGATGTTGTAAAACACATTATATCTAACATTATTTTGAGACCCAAGTTTAAAAAGTTCAGCAAACCGAATATTTATGTATTAGGCAAACTATTAGAGATTTGAAGCACATGATCATTTTGGTAGGTTACTTTTAAGGCATCGTTCTGGGGCATGCTTAATTAACAATCATATCAAGAAAAACTTAATTCTAGAAAATAATTTTATTTCAAAGGACCATTTTATTTCCCTAATTATTTTTGAGTGAAAGTTCATGTACTACAGTAGATCTCAATTTGGCGGATTTCCTAGGCTGCTCTACTCCATCTAGTTCCAACACTTACATTTGTTCTGCACAAGAAAACATTCCATTTTGCCCTGTTCTCACAGATTGAATGTAAATGTCAGTTTCACAGAGCGTATTGGCTCTGCAAACTTTTATAAATACACCCCAACAATGATGTGCAGCTGTAGAAAAATAGTAACAAAAGACTTGGTCATAGAGAAAAATTATTACTGCTCCCCCCCCCCAAAAAAAATCCTACATTTGTATTTAAAAGTAAATATAAATACTTTATTTGATAAATGAGTGTACATTTCAGTAGAAGTTTAAAACTTTATAATAATTTGTGTCATGGATAAATTGAGTAATCATGCGCAATGAGAACAGCATGCAGCATTCAGGAATTCTATTACTCAAAAACCTTTGTATTTTTACAAGTTTAGTTAATGTGTGCATTGCAGTAACACCTATATGTATATGTGAGAAAGACCCTTGTAGACTTGAAAAATTGCCCAGTTTGGAAAATTTATTTTCTTTATTTGCATTTTGAAATATTTTGAAGCAGCACCTTTGAAGCATTTCATTTCCTGTTGTCTACACTTTTGCAATAGGACCTAATTTGCTCACCTGTCCTGTCTTTAGAGAATTGCTGCTACTCCAAAATATTTTGCCCTTCTGTACCTAAACCACATACATACAAATCAAACCGTAATTTTTATCTTTTATTCATATCGCCAAGAGTTTGGCGTTGATTAACTAAAGGCTAATAGGTTGCAATATTTACTTTGCAGGGGAATTTTCCCTTAGCTTAGTGAATGAGGTGAAGCTCTGCTGACTTCCACTCCTGTGCAAGCAAAATTGCAATTTTTTTAATTTTGATTGGGTAGTCTTTGCAGAGTGAATTTTTACCACATTTACAAAGCCATTGCATAAAAAAAATCTCATTGTTTTTCTTCGGCACTTAAAACAGCCATTTCTTTTGATAAAGTAATGTGAACGTCGAATGTTTTGTAGGCACCCTCAAGTGCACATTGGTTGGCCTTCTCCTTCCCAAAATTACTCACCTCTGAACTGGACAATGAGCTTGGCAATCAACTGAACAACAAATAGGTAGTAGTGGGGAGTGAATGAGTCTAACGCTCATAAAAGTGAAGATTGTCTTGGTTTAGGGGACCCCAGAATGATATATATGTTAAGGTATGTGTAGAAACCCAAGGCTGCATAACATTCTACTGCTCATTCAGCTACTACTTTATATTACAAAAAGAAATGGTTGCTTTAAATACACAAGCACCTTTTGATGTGTTTTCAGAAAAAAATGTTATGGGACTGTCATGCACTATAGTGTGGAATAACATTTTAACATGCATTTTTTCTATGCATTTCCCAGAGGAGGCTGTGTGAGGTTCACAATAATGCATGTAAAAGGCATGTTTAAAAGCACTATAAGGAACTGTTTGGTAAGAACTATATGGAAAGATAGTTGTTGAAATCTCCACGCAGCTTAAGATACTGGAAACATGCCCAAAGAGAAGTATAAAGTGGCCCATAATGAGAACGACCAACAATGTTTTTAGCTTCCTTAAAAAAACACAACATTGCTGATTTTTCAGAGTGGCTCCAAGCTTCCCTTTAGTGCTGATAAAAAAGTTGTTTCCAGTGGAGATATTACTATATTACCAGCCTATGTGGCTGGTAAGGCATACTTCCTTTTTTTATTTCTTCTTTTCTAATTTGATTTTATACATATCTCTTGTTTATTTTAGGGAACACTGTCTTGCTGTTAAAGATCTTTATTGCTTTAAAGAATGGCTGTCTATGGAGGAGAACTCACACAAGGGAATTTATAAGCCTGGTCTAATGTTTCTGACACTTCCAGACTGTGAGAAACTTCCCAGCATGCAGAAGAATCCCAGGTCTTGCGTAAGGATTCCTTATTTTGGTAAGGTAGTCTTATGGAATCCTAGTAATTAATGGTTCTATTCTAAGCCTTGTCATATTAACAAATAAATAGAGGTAAATGTAATAATTTGTCTATACATTGTGTGTAATTAAGCTGGCTATACAAACCAGATTGCCAATATTTTGGTAGAGCAAGGGCCCACTGACTGCATATAATTTAAATTCATGGATTTAGGAAGGATGGGTTTACAGTAGTCCCCATTGGGCAGATTTCCCCTCAGTTCCTTTGCAGATTATGGTTATCAGACAGAATACGGAATTAGGGGAAACCTTTCCTCACTCCAGTGGGGACAAACAGAACATGTAAAAGCTGGCAATAGATCTATCCTTTCCCAATCTATCAAAATAAAAGTTTTTGGTTGGGCTTTAAATAGATAATACAATCATATTATAAAATGTGTCCAGCTTTAGAAAAAAAATAGAAGAGTACAACTTTGAGCAGCAACCTAATGATAGATGTTTTAGGGTTATAAAAAGGCTAACGTATTGTCAAGAAGTTAAAGCTTAATGGCTAACTGCACATAACTGGATGCAATTAATTTCCCCAGTGCCGGTACATTCAAGATAGGGCATTCCTACTGTGTGTTTCTTGAAATATATTTCCACTATTGCAGGCAAATTTGAGAAAACCCTTTTTATATGTTTGTTCTGCGTTCCTATTCAGACAGTATAATGAAACATTATTTTTTTTAAACATTTTTAACAGTTTAGATGTTTTGCTGTTTAGATGTTTTGCTGCAGCAGGCAATATGGTTGATTCCAGGTTTTTCTCAGCACCTTCACAGTGGAAGGTGCTGAGATCACTGTATCTGTCCTCATAGAAAGATTTAGGACTGAAATTTGAGGATTAACTCATTTACTTCATTAGCATTTGAATGCAGAAGTCAAGGTTGTAATCATTTAACCCCTCACAGCCCCTTCTAAACAAAAAAGAAGAACCTAAGTAAAAGCAATTTAAACTGAAAGCTTATGTTATGTGAATGGGAACATGTAACAAATATAAAATACTGTTGGTGTTATCCCAATTTGGCTGTGAAAGTGGTAATATACTTTAAGGTCATTTTACAAATATGTAATCAAAAATAGTGCTCAATACTACAGTTGACTTGCAGGTAATTTGCATCTGAAAATAAACTTGGTGAATGCACCTCTGTGCTCCAAGACTTTACACAGGAGTGAGCAACAGCAGATGAGGGTGCAGCGAATGTGAGTTATGGAGGGGGCATTGGGGTTTCTTAAGAGCTATCAATTAAAATTGTTGCTGACACAGATAGTAGTCCGAATAAGGACTTTTGGGTTAAACAGTGAACAGGGGAGAGGAGGGGGGTGCACATAAGACATTTTACCATACCACCGTTCTTTACAGAGGTAAAGCACAGTTTTCTTACTGATCCTTTCTTATCTCTGCCCAAGTAATCAGGTAATATGATGCAGTCTGTCAGGAGCATTCAAATTTCGATAGTGTAAAAAATCTGTGCGGTTTATGGGCAGCCTAACACAGCAGTGTTTGTTTTTCTGTGTCCCCCATAACATAATTTAATACCTGTTGATCCATTCTGGTTCTTGTAACAGCAGCGAAAGAGACAGTTACAATTACAAGATGTGCCATTTTCAGCTGCTAAATGTTCAGGACAGGCTGTCAATCAACCAGCAGTAGACATTGACTGCAGTGGATTAGATGAAAGCACAGCTGCCTGTAGTTCACACAAGAACTCTGTGTCCTTCTTTAATAAGGTTGCCACCAGCCCACCAGCTCCCAATGCTGCAGGAGTGTGGTCACCCTATTAAAGAAAGCCAGATAGAGCATAAAAACAGGCCGAATCTACAGGTATTTATTAAATATTAACTCATACCAATATAAAAATCATTCACAACTACATTTGCTAGGCAAAAAGGGTCTCTTTACACAGCCTTAGTATTTGGATTTACATGCAGTTGTGTGGTCACTCATCACCTTCATACCATTAAAGAACACCTGATCTCTGGTTTGAAGGTAATGGAAATATTTTAGTAGTTGAAGGCAACTGACACAGGCTGCAATTGGAAACTTCAGAGATGGTCAGGATGTTAAGAGCAACAACTGGGATAAGGAGGGTGGCGTGCTATCAAATTGGAGAGGCGATAGGAGGAGCACGTAGAGTTGGGCACACCAAGAGGGAAATGTGGCCCAAGAGTTTTTATAAGACCTATCTGGGGAACTGCAATGAGAGGTGCTTGAAGAGAAGCATATTTTCACTCTTCCATAGAGTAGTTTAGGCTAGAGAAGGCTTACCCTGTGCTGTACAACCATTCCTTAACTTTTTCATTATTGCTCTTCAGCCAACCTTCTTGATATATTTTAGGTACAAAATTTTGGTCTTAATTTGGGTAATAATTTATATAAGCAATAGAGGTAACACTGCAATATAAGGCTAGTGATTCTGTCACTTCTAGTGTCATTATTGCTTTATGTATGCATCAGAGGTAACACCCTGACCTGCCATAATGATTGGCCTACAACATAGTAACATGTAGTAATATTGCAGCTTTGGAAAGTACAGAGATGCTGCTTTCCAGGTAATTTTTACAACAGAACTGAAAAAAACAAGTATATAAAAGCAAGAAATAACACAGATTAAAGGACAACAGGTACCACAACAATGCCATGTGCTGGTCTGGAAATTACAGTCAATATACTGTATAATATAGCAACTTTATAGCTAACAGGTTCCCGAAAGAAAAAGAGAAAACATATATGTATACACACACACACACACACATATATATATTTTTTTTTTATAATGAATACCCTGTATAGAATAAGTAGGCAGCAGTCCATATCTAAAAAAAGACATCCCTATGACAGTCTCAACATGAATAAATGGCATTATGTGGCTATAGTGCTCACCCAAATATATTAGGAACAGATATTTATTAAACTCTCAAAATAAAAATCCCAAATGTATCATAAATACCCACTGGTGCTGTGATGTCTTGTGACTACATCACGTGGGATCAATATGAGTCTGTACAGCAATCCCTCCTCCTAGGCTACAAATCATGAAGTAGGAATCAATGCAGCCAGGCCATGTGACTTGATTTTAGAGGCAAGGTGTCATGTCATTGCCATGTTAATTATTTTTTATGGCAAGTTATTAGTACAGGGATTGACTAACATGATATTGATATGTTATGATAGCAAAGAGAAAATAAAATTAATTAATCTACTGATTCTCTTTGACTTGTGACTTAAATCTACGTTTTTAAGTTAAAAATAAAGTGGTTTTTATTATTTTTTTGTGTGTTTATACCGGGAGTTCTATTTTAGCTTATCTCTACTTTTGTCACATACTTTATAAGTTACACAAACAGAATATAACATTTGAATGATATTTTTCTCCTTTTCTTTTCCAGAGTCTCATAAGGAAAGCATTACTAGTAAGTTGATTTGGGAAATCATTTCATCATTGCAAAATGTGTTTCATTTTCTTTCTGTCACATTTATTACATACTTTGTGACCCACATCCAAAAGTACTTGGATCATTGGAAAATATTAAAGTAAAGAAGCCTTGTTTTCAGGGGGGAAAACATTATATATGTGTGTGTGTGTGTATATATATATATAT